ATTCTGAATATAACGCAACACCAACGCTCGCTGAAAATAAATTTTGCTATCGTGAAATTTACACAAAATAAAATTAAATTCCCTCAAAATTTTCTTGCAAAGTTAAATGATCCACAAACCTCAGCACTTTCCATTCCCCAAAACACAACAACTCCATCGGTAAAAACGAAGAATTCACGAACTGCATCCTTGTCGATCAGATATTCCTCTTTTGGTACGAAATGTAAGCCTTCATCAGATTCTGAAAATTTTCGTTGCACCAATTGACACAGAACGACCGAAGAAGACTTTCATTAAAAAACGTCGATAATCTTGAGCAGAATTAACTACACCTATTGCCATCAGTGAAACGTGCAATGTGGAATTTGTTGCCTAACCAATAAATTGAATGAATAATTGGAAGACAAATGCGATATATCAATAAACAACGAACCCTCATCAACACAAGTCGCTTGATAAACTTGTAAGAGTTGTGCATTTTTGATAAGTGCTGACAAATCAAACGATTCTGCGACTGCGATTGCGACTATCTGCGGTCCTGACATCGGCTGTAATTCATTTCCAGCTATGATATTCAACAATTCTAATATCAACACAAAACACGTGCGAAACTCGAGATCGCCTTGAATGAAGTTACGTCTATCCGTTTAGAAGTTCAAAAGAAAAAGCAGTGCAGGACCTACTTGATAGTTCATGAATTCAAACTGATGGTATCGTGGGAACGTATGTGCATAACATCTCATGAATTTTGAAAATGAATCTGGTTGAGTTTAGAAAATTGAATTAGAGACTTGAATGTTAAGAAGGGAAAAACTAACTTGATCATCGTATGCTGCTGTAAGCGGACGTCTTTTTCGCAATACTTTACGCGATATACGTTGACGATTTGGTTGTTTTTCTTGTGGTGCAGTTGCTTCGAGTGAAGACAGCGATACGCTTTTGTGAAAAGTTTTGATCTGTTGTACTGCTGCTATTAAAGGACGACAATTTTGTCTGCAAATTCGTTTCATCCGAATCCAATGAAGAAAAACATTTGACATGGAATAGTTCAATCCAACAACAAAACACAAATGTATTCACACTCTGATCGGTTAAATTGAAAAGAATTCATAAAACTGACCAAGAAATTGAATCAGTTCAAAAATATGCATTAATAGTTACCGATAGCGGATCGACGATACAAGGCGATTATGCAAAGCTTGTTGTGAAAATTGTCGCATGTGCGATGCGAATAACGGTGCTTTTAATATTACACTTAACCACATTTTGTTTCAATTCGATCAATTATTTCACTTCATCTTCGTTCACAATATTGTATTCAATAAAATCCACCCACTCATCTGGAAATGAAACCATGTCCAAATGCCACAGATTCACAATTAAGTAACTGAATTCCTTGTTTTTTTACACTCACTAATCTATTGGTTTTTTGAATTTTAATTCGTTCAGTTCATTTTCGGTGTGAGCCACAATCTTGACAAAATCTGTAATACTACCTCTAGAGGCTTACCATAGGATGAAAACAATATCAACTAAACATACATAAATAACAACTATAATAATAATAATGGTGATAACAACTACAATTACTAGTGAGCATCAATTTTCTGCCTAATAGTAAGTGGTTTTGTCGAACATCTGAAGCACAATGCCCGATGATATTAAAATGACTTGAAGGTAATGTCCATACGAGGGAATCGCTATTCACCGACAGATAATAAGACAAGTTCACATTGATATATTTGGTTTATTTATTCACAAACGTCAATTATTTATAGGCAGTCACATCAGTTAATCTTTGATCACAACAAAAAACTCATTTTGAATTAACAAATACAATCGAACAGTGCATATCGTCAACCATCACAATATCTGAGTATTATAATTCGCAAAACATGCAAATTCATTCGCAAGATTGTTCTGATGTGTAGGTTTGAACGTACACTGATGCGCTGAGAAGATCCTTTCGACCTGAGATTTAATTTGCATTAGTTGAATCGAGTTGCTCTTCAGCGAAACGTGACTCACCAAAGCATTTGAACTATGCAAATTGCAACACAAAACTTCAGGCGAAGGAACAATGCAGAAATTAGAACAGTAAAAAATCGATCAGCCAAAGTTGAATATTACCAATATTAACTAACCATTTCTTGCATGATTGCACCCGTACAAATGATTGTTTTCGTATTTGCTTGACCTTTTGANGCTTGACCTTTTGACAGTAAGCGAACGGTTTGTGCTACCTTTACCAGGCATTCGTCAGCCAGGAACGGTGGGTCAGCAATTATCAAGTCATATCCACCTTTATGTTCGGGTGGTATTTCGAGCGGCTGGCGATAATCATACTTTATGAAGTTTTTCGCATATTTTGATGCAAAACGATCATCAAATTCGAAGAGTTTCACCGAAATACGTCCCGAAACGATCTTCTATAAAGCGATCACGTTTCAAGGATGTGCGCAATAAACGAAATGAGACAATGCTTATGCATGAATGAAAGTTCACAATGAGAAGACTCGTTGGTTGGTGATGTGAGCAAATAAATGGAAGATATCAACTGAATAATAGTTCCTCACAGTTAGCAAAATGCTAGAATAATCACTGTAAATTTAAAAAAAGTTTGATGATGAATAACGATTTGATAAATAATACTTCATTGATAATAAGATATTCCATGAGAGTTGGACACGAAATGCACGCTATACATCCACCTTCGCTCACGGCCGATATACACTCCTCAGCCAATTTTTGTGCTGTTTCTTTTGAATACCAGAATTGACTCAACTGAAATAAGCACTTGATCAGTAAATGATTCGACTTTGTTTTCATATAATCTTTCAGATTTTGACCCACCAGTTCAGAGCGTTTGAAGAGTGACACCTTATTGGAACAAATCAATGCAAAATCATTTAAATTTAACAAAACCAAACGCTACTGCAAAATGAAACGGAAAACGTATATCCTAAAGAATATAAAATTGAAATAACCTGCCAATTTTCGTCGACAGTCCCTCCTTGGTGGTTTTCTTGTTCGGCATAGAACTCTGAAAGAGCGGCTAGAGTGTGAGCGGATAGTCGGGGTATGTCGTCCTCACCTTCATCATTCCGTCCCTCGCCACTACTCACCATATTCTCATTCAACAATCTCTCATCACTTTCCTTCTCAAATTATTTCATCAATTCCCTACAGGAAAGAAACAAATGAAAGTTTTGCAATTCCAGTCGATGAATGCAAGTGATTATGTTTTGCATTATGGATTGATCCCGTTGAACTGCAAGTAATTAGTTGATCGAAACTACAAAGCTGAAATTCGAAAACAAAATAGTATTTATGCACTTACCTCAGACATTACTGATGGAACAAAAAAAGATGATTACCACTGTAATAACGATGATGATGATAACGATTATCAGTACGAAAAATTATCAGTACGAACGGTGATCTTGATCCGAAATAAACGTCGATTAACTAGAATCGAGTGCAGTGCAAATGCTTGGTGGTTGTTCGGCAAACAACTTGAAGAGTCTAAAGGAGAGCCAGTTCAATTCGTCAAACAATAAAAATCACTAACTTGAGAACACTTTTTACAATGATAGCCACGGCACGATTGATGCGCTTTAATTTTTTTGGTTAAAAATAACTGATCGGAGAATATAATACCGCCACAATTCCATAGAGTATGCATTTTGCATTCGCCAACGGAATTGGGACTCAAACATGGGAGAGATAAGGTCAGGCTCGGGTTTAGTCTTAGAAATAAGCAGATGGAAAACGTCCGAAAAGTGGAATCGTTGCTGAACCAATCAAATTCGATAACGCAATGTGTCGCTCGATCACAACAGTACGTTAAAAACGAAAAGAAGTAAACGATCGTGACGCTTTCTGAGTTCAGTGAGCTTAGACCATGAACCGAATAAGTTGCACAGAACTGAATGTAAACAATACGAAAATGTTTGTAGATTTGTGCATTTCGCTTCGATACAATATTCGTCGGTAAACAACGTTTTGACCGATAATGAACACTTAAAACATATATTTACACATACAGAGTGAACCTCAAATGAAAAAGCTGAAATGTAGATGTTTCTAGTTATTCTACGTGAATCGAGAGAAGAACACATCATCAGTTATCGAGACGAACCATTCTCTACCTAACCAAAGAAAAATCAAATTACGGCATTGTACAAAGACCCAGTAGGTGAAAGTAACTCAACAGAAAATTGTTTAATTTCTATACCACCCTCTATTAGTAAGGAATATTCGGTTTGATCAAAGAAGTTCAACAGAACTTTAAGTGACACACTGCCTAAAACAGCACGATGTGACCATTAATACAGCTGAAGCACGCACTGACCACGGTGATACAGGTAATTATCTGCAGTTCAGTGGACAACCACCTTCACAAATAATCATATGGTCATTTCAAAAACTGTCATCATGCATAGACTTGCTCTCTTCTGAATTAAACTCGATCAACTTCATCACACCCAATCCGTTTCATCTCCTAACTACCACTACTATTCACAATACTCAGTCACAGATAACCGATCTACGATGCATCCGAACTGCATCTTCCATAACCACGATACGAACTCACCGTCACACGTCAGTCTCTCATTCAGTGAATTTTTATTCAACGAAACTTATTCAAACGGATAACTTGTTCGCCCGTGATCAAACATCAAACTTTCTTCGTTAATGTGACTGACTTACAAAAATTAAAATTAATACGATGAGTCACGTTCGCTCAATTAATCATCCATAAATTCTTTGTTTTTATTCAGCTTATCTGACCGAATTGTATTTTAAAAAAATGAAATGATTGAAACAATAATTTAAGGGATGATAATTTACACTGAACACGACACACTCGGAAATATATCAAACGGAATTATCCGTTACGGTTACTCATTGACGAGTTAACATTGATCAACACGTTGGAGTGCAAATTGGAATATGTTTATTATCATACAGCCGTATGCTTTTTAGCATTTGTGATGACCGTTTATTGCGAATATATCCCAATTTGGAGAAAAACTGACAAGTTTCGATTGGGAATTTTTCAATATTAATTCATTTTGCTCATCTCAATGATTTGATCCCTTCAAGCAATACATCTATGTCATACTCTGATCGATTCTTTTCAGATATCGATCGCATTTCCGATTGACTCATTTGGTTAATAGTATTTTGAAATAGCGGTGGCTATAAACAAAATATCTGTACAAACTTGTCCCAAAATCTGCGAAATGTTTTTGATGGTAACAAAGAGAAATGCGTTCAAAATGAAGGAAACTCACATTGAGGATATGAGAAAGAAGGTAAAAATCTTCACAAAAATCTTCTCTCCAAATTTTTGAATTTAGAACCCTCTCCAAAGAATGGCTCAATATTTTGCATGCAATTATGAAACAAAATATCAGATCATCACAATTTCGAATCGTTGACAATCTGTCGAATTCAACGTGATGGCATTGGATCTGCTGGAGCATCATCACTCGAACAACGAGACTGGTCAGCCGAATGATATTTCGCCAACTGAAAATTTTGATCCATGAATATCTCCACTTCTCATTAAAAAAAGCACACGGCTTAAAGTGTCACTTCACTGAGCATATCCATCAAATGAATTCGCAATCCATTTCATATAAATGTTTGATGCAGACGGCGTAAAACGGAATAATCAAATCAAAAAATGAATTGAAACAAGAAACGAACAATTTTGCAAACGTGTTCTTTAGCATGTGTATTNGTAGATGAATCACCAATAGTACCAACAGATTCAACTGTATATGGTGGACGTACCAAAACACGATCTAACACCAATATATTTTCGTCTTGCCACTTCACTTCATCCAATCTAAAACAATAATCATTTATCTCACAAATTCATAACCAAAGTGATTCGAGCACTAACTGATCTAAACAACTGAAGCATTAATGGAAGAGATACGAACGTTTTTCTCAAGTGTAAGAATATACGTTGTCCTTCTAAAGAGACAGTTGTATGTAGAATCGAGGCCAATTTACGTGCTTCAGCTTTACGCATACGTTCCTGCACTTGTTGCTGTGTCGCAGATCCATTTGAATAAGGCACGTATTCCGGTGTCCTATCACGAACATAACAAACCTGTAAGTTTATACAACAACTACCTACGTGCATACATTCAACTCGCTAAAATGGTCTAGCTAAAAAAATATGGTAAAAAAGAGCAATCAAAGCAATCTCACTTTTCCCACCAGAGCTAAATTCACAAGTCGTAGCAAAGGTTTTGGTCCAGATGAGGTGTCTTCTGAAATTAAGATACGTTTGAAATAACTCAATTCGAACAAAATTTGCATGCCTCAGCAATATCCAAACAAAACTCTACAACTTATCTTTGCAATAAAAGAATCTAAGTGCACTTTTTTTCAATCCTTCGAATCTTCGGATCATTTTCCGTTCAACCGCATCTTTTGAAAAAAAGGGGCGACTGAAAAAAGTTGCTGGGAACTATTTTATTTGACATCGATACAGATATATCATAACAGACTTACTGATAAGAAGTAATCGAGTGGGCTGATCGTAGCTGAGCACCTGACCGGTGATGCGAGTTGAGAGTGCGGTCTGGCATTCAACGACACTACCGGCTGAGAATACAACATTCGCGTCATTTGTTACAGCTGTATCGGAATCGGTTCGTTGCACATTGTTAGTTTCAGCCATCGATCCTTGTTGACTGCTTGCATCTAACGCAGTCATTACATTCAGTTCAAATCGAGCACTTTCAACTTTCAACACTTTGCTTTGTGGTGGTGGGTGTGGTATATTTCTGAAATTAAATATTAATGTGACCCTATCTTGAACACGTTCAAATCAAAACCAAATCAAACGCATTTGGAGTACAATCACTTCACTTCCGGTTCGTCACAAAAACAAACCATAAAGTGACACGCAACTGAAAGCAACAGCACACAACTTTGATTCCTTTTTATAATCACACGCAAGCAAAACTTAAACATATGAACGAAACACAATGTCGGCATCCACAGTCAGTGTCTAGAGCTTATTCAGAAAGTAGCATTGGATGAAACGGATCGTATCGTTGCTTTCATAATGCAGTCAACCTCAAAGTTACATCCCACTTCATCCACCTACACTTTAGTTGCGTGAAACAATCACACATCCATACGTCTTAATGCAAATCTAATCTCAAATGGCCCAATGCCAAACCAATAAGAAACATGTTAGCATAATTAAAAAGTTGTGTTGTGATGTGTTACAACACCAGAATATTCTGATCGGAAGTGCGTTCCGAACATACATTCAAATGGTGAATTACGGTGGAAGGAAGTAGTTTTGGGAAAGATGAGGTTGTTGAAAGTCGACGACAGTAATCATCGTTTTCCGGAGAGATGGAAAAGTGGTGCTCATGCTCAGGATCGTTTGGGAATTGCTTGGATGATAAATACAAATATGGCTATGACTACCGCGTTCGATATTTAGGGGGAAGGCTCTCAAACGTTACGGAAAAGGCTTTCGACCACGCATCAAGGGAATATTCAGTCTTTAGAAAGCAACCCTCATGTTTGATTTCAGCACAAAATACCGATGTCTGAACTGATCTCATAATTCTAAATGTAAAAAGCCCAACTTACCGTGCACTAGAGATATTCGAAATTAAAACCGCGTGCAACGGGTTTTTAAATCCACAAAACCCACTAGATTTGGTAATGACATGAAAATACCACTTATTTGGTAGCATCCCATGATAACTTTGATTTTAGCTTGGTTGAAAAATTNAACCACCATTATCTCTGGGAACTTGCATATGTGCGGCCACAACCACTGAAATATCCTCCTTCGTGTTAACTGCCCATTTAAGAACATCATGCCGCTGCTTGCACTATTGTGATGCGAATTGAGTACGAACAAGTAAAATCCAATAATTCCAGTCAAGGACATCAACTTTTACTGCTTAATTTCACACCGTTCTAGCCCTGGAGGGGTTGTATTATACAGTTCCGTCGATCTACTCACGAGAATAATTTAAGAGATGCTGAACAGCCTCTTCATCGTCAATACCACTGGGTAAGTTTCGAAATTCACTTGTATATTCATAATTTCCAAGGCGTTCGATAAATTTCTTCAGTATGATTATTGATATATATTACTTTATTTGTCATATCCACGTGGTAACATTATATATTTCTTTATTTCAGCGATATTATTCTCGAAAAACATTGGAAGTCGGTTGTTCACCGGTCAATCTGTGACTACTTTTTTGAAGCTCAAAAAAAGGTATTTCTTGTGTTATTATAACTACTGAATTCGACATACCTCTCAACTTTAATTTTACAACTGTTGAGCTAATTTTCATGGTTCGTTATTCCTGAAGCAGTAGTTTGTTCCACAAAAGAAAAGCCTTAAGAAGGAATCACCGTGGTAATCCTATAATCAAAACGGCCATTTAAATGGTGTTTGCGGCCACCACTGCGACCAAAAGATTACCCTTGTGCTCAAACTGACTCCTTGCCTGTAACTCAGAAGCCAAATCTCAGCTGTAAGCAGTCATTTGAGCTGCTTTTCTATAGCCACCGTCGTCTGTTGCGTCGTTAACAAACAACAACGTGCTCCTCTAAACTCATTGACAAAATAATGTCATTACAGGCGGCGTGCCCTGAAGATGTACCGCCGGTTATATCAACACCTCATCACTATCTCATCAGCGTTTACCACAATCAACTCTTTTTATTAGCTGTGACTACAACTGAAAGTAAGATTTGCGAACAGTTTTGTTTGTGGCTATTTTATCGTTAATAACCTTAGAAGGAGAGAGTAAATGAAAACAAACATAGCATTATTTATGCTTTAATATTATGCTAGACCGAAGATGCAACTCGTTTTCTCATTCCGGATTATATTAAAGTATGCAATTTTTAGCCCCACCTTTAATGGTTATTGAATTCTTACACAGAGTTGTGGCTACATTCACTGAATATTTTGATGAATGCTCTGATTCTTCGATCAAGGAGAATTGTGTCATTGTTTTTGAGGTAAGTCTTCTTTTTTTCGATATGCTATTGAAGAAATCATAAATTTACTCATCAATTAGAATCGTTCAACAACAGAAAATTCCAGTTATTCTGTTATTTATTTCAGCTATTGGATGAAATGCTAGATAATGGCTTCCCGTTAGCGACCGAACTGAATATTTTACAAGAATTAATCAAACCTCCAAATTTTCTTCGAACGATTACCAATCAGGCAATTTTTCAAACATTCCTTATTTATTGTTCATCATTCTTACTAGTGGCTATCGTAGCAGGTGAACGGAATACAAATCGCAACGTATCAGTTCAGCTCGAATTGTCGCAGTTTAGTCGTCATTTGCAGAAAACAACGATCCTCTCTACTGAAAAACTGTGATTGAAATACATTTCAGAGCTGTGCAAGTATTCAGATATGAAATGTTATCGGAGGAAAAACAGTTGAATTGTTAAATGTGCACACAATAATTGGTTAACGCTCAGGTGACTGGACGAACAAATTTGTCCGAAGTGCTCCCAACGGGTCAGCTCTCCAATATACCGTGGCGAAGAGCGGATGTGAAATATACGAACAACGAAGCGTATTTTGATGTTATTGAAGAAATCGATGCCATCATCGATAAACAAGGTGCTACGGTCTTCTCTGAAATTCAGGGTTATGTAAGTGTTACTGTGCTTTTTGCATGCTCTCAGATTGCATTTTAGATATTGCATTAGTGAGTTAACATATCAAAAGGCATCACAACCTTTCTGTGGTCGTCTCATTTCGTTGAAGTTTTTGTTGTTATGGTGTGATGTCATTACTGAATTTGATGTTGTGTTTGTGAAACGCGGATATGTGTGGTAATGTAGTGGACGATTTAGATTGATTGCTGTTGTAAGTTATCCGGAATGCCTGATTTGACGATGACTTTGGTTAATCCTCGTCTGCTCGATGACGTCTCATTTCATCCTTGTGTAAGGTTCAAACGATGGGAAGTACGTTTTTAATGATTCATTCATTTTTCGTTTCGAAATTGTATTCCTTCCTAATTCGTATTTTTAAATTAGTCTTGTTTCTAAGGGACCATATTGTTTAGATGGGGTACGCTTACTGTGTTTCGTAATGCGGTTTCTGTGATTAATAATGTGATTTGGTACCGAATTAGATCGAATCAAAATTTCAGAACGAACGAGTGTTATCGTTTGTGCCTCCGGATGGAAATTTTCGTCTTCTCTCCTATCATATTGGCTCGCAAAAGTGCGTTTTCTAGATGGTCATTTTGATTTTGACAGCGATCGATAATTTTGATTTATGTTCGCAAAGTACGCTTTTGCTTGATTGTTTGAAGCGGTGATTAGAATCTGATTGAAGGTATCCCTCAAGAACGATGATAAATATTTTTCGGTATGAAAACTACGATTTGTATCTGAATCACACTGAAAACCGTCTTTAATTGTTCACTTTAGTGTCGTGATACCCACACCATTCGTTGAGTATTTATATAAAATATGAACTTTGCAACGATTTCAGCATGGTGGCCATACCAATCTATGTTCGTCATACAATAATAATGAAAGGTGGTATTTCTGGGAGAATCGATTTGACTGTGGGACCAAAGCAGAGTATGGGTAAAATTGTAGGTTTATTTTGTCTGATTTGGGTATTGACTCGTATTCTTATGTTATTGCACACTCACCCCNTTATATTTCTAAAAGCAAAGTAATGGAAGTATATTTGTCATAGTGAAAGTATATTTTTTGAAGTTCATTTCCATTTTCGGAGCACTGTCATGATATTTTTATTGTTAGATGACTGAAGTGAACAGAGAATTTGTGTGATTGTAATTGAATGTTTGAATGATTTACTCTCGGGTAGTTGTCGTTATCAGATGTGGAAGTGTTGCAGTTAGAGGAAGTGGTCGTTGAGATGACGATGCCGAAAGCCGTTCAGAATTGTAACTTACTCGCTAGTGCTGGCAAGTACTCATTCGATCCCACCACGAAACTTCTACAATGGAATGTCGGTAAAATTGAACTCGGCAAACCACCAACGCTCAAGGGAACGGTGAGCGTTTTTGTTCGCTCATTTCTGTGACACTTATTTTGGATTGATGCAATCCGATCGCAGAAATTATTTGCTGAATTTTATTGCGTGTCTTGCAGATATCTGTAAGTGGCACAACCACCGTTGAATCACCTCCAATAACGGTCAAGTTCAAAATAAATCAACTGGCCGTATCTGGTCTTAAAGTGAATCGATTGGATATGTATGGCGAGAAGTACAAACCTTTCAAAGGTGTTAAATATATCACAAAAGCTGGTAGATTCCAAGTAAGAACATGACGTATGATATTATCGCGTAATATTCGCTGCATTATTCTACATACCAACTTGCCATACCATACCGATGATGTTGTAATGTTATTCATTAATGCTGTACTCTGATATTTTATTTCGTTCATTCGCTTGTCTGATAGTGTTGTGTTGTCATTCTTATGCACCATTTCCTCAGTCATCAAGAAGAGGAAGTCTCTGAAATTGATCTAGACATTCGGCTCTTTTTTAATCGAGAANCGTCATTTTGAAAGTGCGATTCCGTTTAGAGAGAACACCGTAAATGAAGGTGATCGACACCCGACCTTGTTGTTTCCAATTTGGAAAGAATTCTTTTCAGCCATTTGATAATTGCAGCGAAATGTGCTGATATCGTGATTTTTAGCTTTTATTCCGCAGACAATCATTTTTTGAGTATTGTTGCCATCGAAGGAGACATAATCTAGTTCTGAATTCGAGCCGTTCTCAAACACCGAACGTCAGCTATTAGCTCATGAAAGGGTGGACGGTCGTTTACGAAGAAATCGAAAGTTAATATTCTCATTTTTATTACCTATTTGCATCGAAAAAAATCTTAACTGATTGAATTTTAGATTACTTCAGTCTGTCCCAATTCAATTCTTTTAGTGTTTTGAATTCATGCCGGACTGATTGCGGTCGTTCAAAACTTGTAAATTTGTGATTGCGAGTGTTGTTCGTCGCAACCGACTCCCTGAATTCTGCTCATTTCGAAGCGAAGAGATTCATTGTGCACAGAATTACATTTGCTGAACTTTTTCATTTAAGCAACGTGAACAAAATGTGATAATTCAGTTAAATGAAGAATCCGATAAAAGATACGGTTCGTTTAGTGAACGACCAACTATTTAACTGACGACATCGGCAACAAGCCCAAAAACTTATTTGACTTGATATTCGTCAGTCTTTTGAACTGTATTCATTGTCAGTTACTTTTTGGTTACGCGTTATGATAACTGTGATAGTGGAGTGTATTGAGTGGGTTTCGGAGAGGTTCGATAAGGTTATCGATATGCGTAGTTTTGCGATTTAGAAAAAGAAATCGTTCTGATGTCACTCATGTTCCTTAAAGTCGTGTGCTGATTATGTGAAGTACCGGTGATCTCTTGCATTTGATAGGTATTCAGTCGGTTCGTTGAGAACTGAATGGTTGGTCGGTCAGTTGAAAGTGAGTTGTTGATTGCATTGGTTATCTTTGCCGATTATGATTAATTGAACGTTTGAAGTTTGTTGTCTTTTGATCACAGTTACCAGATAATGTTAATTACGGAAAACTACACAATTCATTGTGCAGCAATCGATTTCAATCAATCCAAAATAGATGGTGATTCGTATTAATTTAGTTATGTATTTGAATTTATTTGCTCTTTATGTATTTGAATTTTTTTTCAAATTCTTTTCTTTATTTGTGTCGTTGTGATTTCAGTACGTTCATTCGTTGTTGAATTTCGGAGAGAAACCATCACTTCGATGGAGGTTTAATCTTTGGCACTTTGCTGTTTAGGGGCCACACCGCGCACAGACACGCAACGGTGAAGCTGAGGCTGCTGCTCACGGTTAGGCTGGATTCATATCGAGGCCGTCGCTGAACCTCACGTAACATTGAGAGTCCTCTATTCCAATTACTTTGGCGACGTGTCTGCGCGCCGTGTAGACCCTAATGAACAGAAGTGCTTAATTTTTGTTGTAAATATTATCACTTCGCTGTGGTTGTGCTAATTTATGAAGTTGTTATAAGTTAACTTTGTACTTTCAATTTGTGGTCTCAACCAAAAATCGCTGATAAAGAAGTTTGATGAACGTAATCGCATCAAAAGAACGCTGTTTCATCCCATCACCCGATGATGGTGGTTTCGCTTTCTTCAAAATCCACATTCTTTGAACTGTGTTCGTGTGCTAGAATCTTTTTGATCAACAACGCTCGAATATCGGCGAGAGAACGTAACCATTAGTTCAAGTGATATTATTGAGTGAATAGTAGGTTATTTAGAGCATGTGACATGCAGTATTCTTAAGTGAAATATTTCCGTGATTGAACTAAACATTCATTGCATAAATTAATTTGAGAATAACAAAAGAATATAGATGAATTCTATTGGAATACATGCATTTAGAGATTAATTAAGGTGCATTTCACTGGTATGAGTACATTTCACAGATCGACATCAATCGGTGGATGTGTACGAGTGTAGTGAACAGAGCACTCGCTTGTATTGTCACCTTCCCTGCATCGACACGGCCATCCTTGAGTGAACGCCATCGAGAGTAGCATATTTGGGATGAGTATGAATGCAATGCACAGTCCGATGTTGATCAGGAAAAATGCATTATGCACCGTTGTCATATCACCATCCTCATCACTAATACAATACGGAATCTGCAAGTGGCTCACCGAATCACTGTACTCGAGCGAAGCGAATCATATTTCATAACATGCATGGAATTTTTTTGGTTCTTTCTAGAATATGCGAGCAACAAAAATGAGCATCCATAAATTTTAGGATGCTTTCGACACGAAACAAACTTCACTGAGATGCTTCTGCTTTCTGAACAAACGTTTGTACGTAATGTGTTTGTGTTCTCTGCTCGTATTTTATGTCACATAGTCAGTGCAAGAGTGATGTCCGAACAGATCGATACTAACGTAAGTACACGCCGATAGGCGAAAATTCAGTTTACATTCTATATTTTCTTATCAGAAACCGAACGAGACGATCCATTAGGTGTAAAGGTCAGATCAACTGAGAATTCAGGCACTACTTGTCAGGTCAGTGAAGAAGATGGCAATTCAAAACCTTTAATAAAATAGTATTCCTAAAAGTATAAGTGTGTGTCTTGAATGGGAACTTCATCTGAAAGCACTGCCTAAAATGTGAACTCCTCTGAATAACAATACCATCTAAACATACAACAAGTGAAGCACGCACATAAAATACGCAGAAAATGCTCATTCACGAAGCACATAATGTCATACACCGAAAACCCCACGGAAAATACAATAATTCTCCTCATGTAAAAGACTTCAATAAAAGCCTGTTGAACTTCAGTACTTATTGTATTCTTACTTATTGTAATGTTGTAGAATATAGCTCACCGACTTATATTCTAGAGAACACGGTGAGCATGAGAATATTGCTCAGGTGTCAGCACTGAATCATCCGTTCACCTCGAGCTGTTCCAAATCAACGATGCACTTCATTATATTCCTAATAGCAACTGACATTTCACGGAGAGTACTTAAATGAGATCGCAGCGCATACTTCGTGTTCACATGATCGAAAAGCTGCAATCCTTTCCTCGGCACTTGTGTCGTTTCCTGGACTCACATACCGAATCAGTTCCTGTTCACAATTCCACACTCGCCATCGCTTCGCATATCCCTCGGCCATTCCCTTACTGTGACATGTGACCGTACAAGGCGACCATTCAGTCCAGCATTGCGCACCCTTTAAAGGTGACCTTTTAAACTTTAAACGGCAACAACAACTAAAGCGACCTTTTCTGAGAGAGTTAATGAATTGCTTAAAACTGAAGAACGTGCGATTCAGTTCGACCAATGAGTACTGAAATAATTCACTTTGCGACAATAACACTTAAGTGAGTATAGGTTTAAACAAATGATCAGCGAATAATCGAGATACATTGATGAGAATAGCTGTCAAGTGTGATAATTCGAGCGATCTTGGAGAGGTATTGGTACGTTGATTAGCTGGGTAAATAAGTACGTAAACAGACGAATAGATGAGATCGCTTATCATAAAATCACGTTTACCGATTTGCAACTAGCAACAAGAAACCATAGCTGAAAGAGAGCAAGTGAGACGGAACCGTGCATCAACACTTCACGCGTAATAAATAAATGGAATCCGTTCTCGACTGCCCCGTCCCTTGTCAGCCATATTTTTCTCATTTTGACAATGACTGCAGCCGACAAAATGTTCTTGGGACTTTGCATATTCGTAAATCTTCCAAGAAATTTGAAGAATTGTCACTGAACATTCACGTACTCCATTCCTATAACTTTGAAATACGTATTCATACACTTTTTATACCACCCTAGCATTGTTTACCAACAATCTTACGTAGACGTTACCTGCATTCAAACCTACAACTTAATCAGCATACTAGACGTTCCAATTCCTTGACTATAATTTTGTTCGACTGCCGTAGTCTGGTGATAAACTTTGTGAATCAGTTTTTGGAGGTGACCTTTTTATTGCTCGGTCCAAAAAAATAATGCAGATAACTAACTTACGGTGCACTAATGGACAATGTTTTATCTGCTGCAGAGAAGAAGCTGATGAATACGTCAAAGTTTCCGTACATATTTACTGTATTTTGATTAGAAGTACTGAACCAGAGAGAGTATTGAAAGACATTTATTTAAAACAATCCCGCACAAATACAAAACAACATCACATTACAATATGTACATTAATCAATCCGTAAATCAATCATGCCAACTTCATCGCATCAACACTTTACTCAAAAATTCTTCTTCCAACCTGCGTAATTTTGAACGAGTCATCGAAACGCTGAATGTCGAATACCACCGTTCCTCGATCTTAACCTTTAAAAAATTCCTTTCAGCACGGTATCCTTTGAAATTAGTTGAAATCATTACACACTATCATCTCATCGGTGTGACAGCCAGTGAAATAACGTGGATTTTTGCGAATGAAATGAAATGCCCAACTTCTGATTCTGGTCGGTTTCATTTGTTGAAAGCACCGATCGATTTTTAGAACCGATAAAACATTTTTTGCGCTGACATAAATCGACGAATCGCATGTGGATGAACGGGAAAAATATGCTTATGCTCATGAACAAAGGTAAAATGAAATGTTGATAAATTTCACGCAAGCATCGAGAATGATGCGCAGAAAAGAGATGAAATTTGACCTTGGCGGCTCTGATAGCAACCGACATGCACACAATAGCAATAGTCTGAGGACTATGCGATAGAACCCATCCGGGTGAGATGTGCGCATCACGTAATAAAATGAAACAAATCTCTGCGACGCCATTCCACGACAAATCACCTCTGCACCAATGTTGCAGTGAAGAGACGTATTGTAGAAGATACTGAAATCTGACTTGTAACCACTTCACGATTACGCCCAATTAATGAAACCAACTTCGCTCCAAATGCATATGAAAAGATGACCTTGTGCGGATTCTCGACATTCAGTCGGAACCTAAGCAATCTAAGGACGACGTATTCCATTCTTGCAATCCCTTCGCGGATGGCCCACATTTCTTCATCAACTTGAAGCATCGGTTTATCACCGTGTAGCACACTGAAATCAGCCAATGTTCACTATCAACTTCACTGATGCATGTAATCGAAAAAAACAACAAACAATTCACGACGCTCACCTATACGAAACATTTATAACATCTCTAATTCGAACACGTTGATCTTCCTCGATTTTCGCTGCCAACAAAAAACACGCACACGCTATCGTCTACAAAAATTTTTCAGTTACAAAGATTACGACAATTTGGTATATTNTCATTTAACTCACATATGGACAGAGCTCTTTACAAACTTCCTTCCGCATCGTTCGGTAAGTCAATACACTTGTGGTACATATTGTCACATTTTTTGCCTCTAATTTTATTCCTAAAATTAAAGACATCAAAATACGAATTTTGAAACATCACTTCAACATTTCTTGGAATAGGAAAAGTAATAGATAGAGTAAAAACCAACGAAGAACCTGTTTTAATGATAAACGCAAACACCTTTCGATGAGATTCCTCACTACTCATCAATGCAACCTAGAATTTTGTTCATTCAAAAAAGAATACGATGGTTCGTTGAATAATGCAATCGTGCAGTCGAATGTTAATTCGAAACTGTTCAGTGCAAAACAACAGACTCAACTAAACGTTAAAGATCTTCGAGTTTATTTGAATAAACGAGAAAGAAAAAACTTGAAAGTAATCAGAATTTTAAAATTAAAGTCATCATGAAATGTTAACAAATGTCAAATAGAGGCAGAGATAAGCAACGAAAAGGACGTATGGTGAACATTTCCGTGAATTTGATCGGTATGACAAAAACGGCAGTAATCAATGAATTTATTAAATAAAGACGTGAACACAACCTCAAACATAAAATCAACAAAACCTCCAACACCGTTCATAGATTCAAATTAACTACTTAACGCAATCAGTCAATAAATACAAATAGCGTCGGAAATGTGGTATTCAAATTGACAAAAGTTAAGGCAGTCATGATAAAGAGATCACGAATTTGTTGCTGAAATCAGTACTTCATTGATTTATCCCACCATGTGCAACAGATAATCGTCGAACGAAGCTACAAAGCTGATCGCGAGAGAGAGCCTAAAACTCCAATAATGTTCGATGAAACAATATGATCCACAACATCCACTCAAGTTCAGAAATTAGAAAGTTCATCCACTTACAACAGGTAACTTTTAATTGAACTTCCAAACATAATCAGAATATTCATGCACTACAGAGAAAGAATGAAAATGAGATGAACCTCGGCTATTTCATTTTTTTCATCTGCTAATAACATTGCCAATCTGATCGCTCCACTCGAATCTTGCGACTGATCATAAATTGTAATCAACATTCCCAATATTGCACTCACATATGACTGCCTGATTTCACGCAACTCTTCCATTTTCTTCCGCTGAAAATTAAGAATCACAAAAACGACACTAGCAGTAAGTCACAATATCTAAACGTTATATATCACATTTGCAGACTAGCTATCAACAACGTCGTATGCAAGTAAACTAAACAAACTCTGAACAAAGATGGAATGGACACCATTTTTCTTCTCATCTGATCGAATGCAGTCACCGTTTTTTTACAGTAATTGATTCACAAAACAAAAGAATTATGCTCGCACGATCAAATCCCGAACTTTTACACCAAAGAAGGTTCGTGCATCACGCAAACTTGAAACTAATAAAACGAATGAACCAACTAAAATTCAACAAACCAAATCTGCATTGTTGCGTAAAGTTTCGTCAAGAGGTGCAAATTTCAACCATCCATTTGGCCACAGTGATAATGATTCAAGAGAGTCAATGGCTGTCTGCAAGTATCCACTTTCACTTGGAAAGAGATCAGCATCAGCAATCAGTTGAAGTAAATCAGTAAAAAAATAACTTAAAGAAAAAGCTCTAAGGCATTCTTTTCGATTAATAATCGGAGTACAAGAAAAGAGAAGAAATTTCTACGTCGAAGATGACGGTCACTTAATTCTCGTAATCATTTGAAGGCATCTGCCTTTTCATACCCAAATTCAAGAACATATCCACTGTTAGAGGGATACGATGAGTATTAGAATCTGAATCAGAAAAAGGAGTAGAACGAGGGAGCGTTCTCTTCCTTCTTCAGCACTTAGGTCAACGACTGACAAGAGTGTGAATGAAACAATAACTAACAGAGCGCAACGAATCACAAGTTGCACGATGACGTTGCTGTAATTCTCGTACTTTTGCTTGTTCCACTTCGAATGCAGCCCTCTGATGAATATTCATACGACTCCAAACCTCCTTTGTTGGTGATTTTGGCGTTTCAGGTTGAGTCATTTTGAGCTGTTTAAACCAGTTATTGAAATCATCTGATGCCTCCTATAATATACAGCATAATAGCTCGACTCGTTCACTGTGGAGGAACGTAGGAAGTGAATTAAAGAAAACTGTCCAACTTTATCAAGATACTGTGAGTTGGAACTGGTGCTGTAATGCATGAGTACACTTTTTAAAAGCTTTAAACACCAAGAAATGCGGAAAGAAATCAATGAAAATTTAAAACTACGTATAAAATCAAAAAGTATTCCGTTTCCGAAGCAAAAAACTTGAAAAGTATGATCCTTTCATGCAGAAAAGCGCGAAGTAAACAACAAAAATAAAAAACAACTAACGATATATGCTTGATATGCACGATTTTCAGCGATTGCATCAGATAATTCTTTCGGCATAGACGCATCGCGGTATTCGATACTCCACAATTTTTCTATCGTTTCGCTGAGATTCTCTTCCATTTGGTCGAATACCAACTTTGCTTCTTTCACTTTTTCAACAGCGAAAAATTTGCGTAGAATGAGATTCGCAGCGAAGAGAGCATCGATGACAGCTTCTTTGCCAGGATATTTGAGCCAGTTCCAAGCACTTATCAATTTCGCATCAGATTCAGTGCGTTGTTCACCGATCTGACAAACGTCGACTGCATACGAGAACACCTTCTTGCAAAGTGTGGTCGTGTCAACACCAACTTCATGACACGATGCTAACACATCAATGCGCATCTTTTCATCTTCTATTTCATACATAAATCCAATCGTGAGACGTTCAGCTGCTTCTGATGGAAGTTTCGACGCATAATATGGAATTATTGTGTACATTTTCTGTGATACCAACACATCGATATAACGTTCCAGTATCCAGTATGCATCTTCTTCAGCGAATGGTTGATTGGTGGACATATAGACGATGACAAGATGAGTGATGTATCGCAGAAAGTGAACATTATGACGTTCGTGGAGATGCGTTTCTAACCATTGTCTCATAAAAGTGACGTGGGACTCTGCATCGTTCGTGATCAGAAAACGGTAACTTGAATAGAACGGTGAACGCTCCTGCGTGGCGATTTCATCGAAGATTGACGTCACCATCAGATCACTAGTTTTTTGTTGCAAACTGTCTTCATCACAGAGATCTGGATGATGTTTCATAATAGCGATATCTAAACGATTCTCAATCGCTGTGTTCAAATAACACCAAAGACGATCATCGGTTCGTTGCGATAACGACAAGCCTGGCTCTAGAAGACCGCCAACAGCTGACCAAATGCAACGTTCGATTTGTGACATCGATAGTCCTCTGTGGATGATCTTCTCAACGGTTTGCTTGAAGGACAAACGGGAGTTGGCCAATCGGAACAGACGATGATCACAAGATAAGGGCGTTAATGATGCATCACGTGCCATCTCGCGAAACTTGAACGATGGTATCAGTGCCAACAAGCCAACGTGATCCAACAACTTGATTGCCTCTGACAGTTTGCCACAACGAATAAGGGTATAAACGAGGTTATAGACTCGATTTTGCCTGTCCTCATCGATCGGATGAAGACGACCGTGCATGGCACCATCCAAATCCATATCGCACCACTCCTCTCCTTTCTTTCGACGATAAAGTGTCTCAGCTCGAATATGCGCACCATTCTCAAGTTGACTGTATTCTTCAGTGAGTTCAGAATTCGCGCTTGGTTCATTGAACGCATTCTCTTCACACCAATCTAGCAGTATCTGAAATCATTAGGTTCTATTATTAACTCTTTTTGACTTGAGCAAATTCAACGTGACTCGAAAATGAGAAAGAAAAATGACAATGACAAAGAATATGAAAACATTTTAAGAAAATCACGTTTCGTATACAAGTTACATCCGAAATAATTAAGTGATATTCTATGGGACCACAATGATAGTTTTGGGAACATCAACACTTCAACTCCCATAACTTATTGAAATAAATCTAACCGAAAGACGTCGAAATTCGAGATCATCAAGTAATAAATCCCAAAGAACTGATCGCCCTCTTTCTAGCTGAAAATTATCTCAAGTGAGAATCTATATTCATTCTTTTATCCATCTGTGAAGCAAATATCAGCATTCTGCGTCCATAAATTATGATGACCGTAACGAAATATGTGAAATACGCTTAAATTTAAAGAAAAACACTGATCAGTGAATTCACGTTAGATCTTATATATTGCTTTTCTTAGAAAAACACCAATTACCATAATAATTATCAGAAATTATCAACAGCACGACAGAATAGGAACTAACGAAGAAGACATTCAGAAACTAACTTGGCTGATGGAAGTCTCTGAATCTGTAATTTTGCATAATAAAGAGTAGGCCTTTTGCTCACTAATCAACTGGGCTAACGTTGAATTTAGCAGACTCTTCTCACTGGAAGTTCTTGTAGAAATTTGTCTCAGTGAAGATATTGCATCGTCCAGCAACTGAAACTGGGAACTCATGGTAGTAAAAAATAGTGATTAGTTGTCTTCAACATTACCTGAAACATAAACGGAAACGATATGAGGGCTGAGAATCATACGATCAGCGGCTCGGAATCAAACTAAATCCATGAAACTGGACTTGATAAATTTAGCATGTATTTGGCTGATCTATTCGTCAAAATGATAAGAGAAAAGATAAAGGAGTAATGTCGCATTTCAGGTTGATAAAATCACAAAGGCATTTCGTTCGTGCGAACATTTCTTGCTGTGCTCTAACTAATAACACATTTAACTGCGAATGTGAACAAAATGCCATTTTGATTTTACCAACCTAAAATACAAAATTACCGATGAAGGAAATAACAAAAAGCGAAACAAATTTTGAAAATAACCTTACGGAAACAACGAATGAGATCTTCAGGGCTCTGAAGTAAACTATTGCAGTTCGTATAAAAATCCTCAAATAACGCCTTTAAAACTGAAAATAATATGAATTTAACGAATAAAAAGATTGATGGATGAAATGTTTAAGCATTAAAGAGAAGTTGGCATTCAGTGAGTTCCTAGCATCAATTGATAAATTTCATATGTCATGATAGAATTTTGCAGAATTAACAGTTGATTTTACATAGTACTTAACGTCAGAAATGGAACTGGTTTAAAAGTCACAAAAAGTGCAAAAAATAACATAAATGTTACGTTCAGTAAGGACGATCTCATCACTTCCTAATGACAACTGCGCAGAAGTAATCCAATCGATTCCGGTCGATCTTTTGACGGGTACTCGGTGGGGATCATCACTGGATGACTTAAATCCAAATACATCGGAAATGGATTCCATTCTACTGAAACGTCGAATCTTAGGTGATGAAATGCTCACATTCAGTTCTCGCATATACGAGATCTTTCATTCGAACCTAAATTCACTGNAGATACTGGCTTACTGAATCTTAAGAAATTGGGGTCGAGGTAAATACAGGTTACGTGAACCTCAACAATTCCCTGTTAGTTGTCGGCACTGACATAATCCTTCACTCATGCTGTTTAGTCCCTCCACTCGCACGCAGACAAGCGTGCATTACCATTCGCGCTCTCAACTACACCGCCGCACGTTGTCATGCGCGCTTTGACCACGCCCGTTATGTTACGCGTTACACATCACTTCGGTGGGCGTGTCCACGTGCGCTTGCCCCTGCGTGCGGGTGGAGGGACTAAACAGCATGAGTGCGGAAAAGTCATTGAAAAATAGATTTATAAAGAAATGAATGAACATGGATATGCTTGACATTTACCAAAAGCTGATAGCACATACACGATCATAACGTATGTAACCACTTAATGTCACTCAAATCAATGAAAGTAAAAATTAATATGATTTGTTAAGCTAGCGATGAAGCGTACAATATAGATAAGATCAAGACACTGAACATGACGAGGGGCAAAACAAGGCAAATTGCAATTGATTTCAAATTCCTGCTTTGAGACCTTCGATCAATATTTCAGTACAGGAAATGAATAATCGCTCATTCCCTTGCTATTTTCGAATCAGCAATTCCCCATTCCA